CTGTGGGTGGTACTTCACCTAGGAAAACTACTCTAGTAGAAACTGCTTAGGGAGTAAACAGAAGTAATTTTAATATATGTTGTAAACCCCCAAGAGAAAACTATATATTTTCAAACTTATTTACCTAGGAAAAACTTTGGCCTGAGAGCATCCGTTAACATCTAACATGATAATGACATTTCTCATAAAAATTAATCACTGACAACATATTAAATGCTTACTCTGCCAAAGAATGTTTTAGGTGCTTTACATGTATCAACACATCTTCACAACAACCTTATTAGAATTAATTAATGCATTAATTAGTTCCTGGACCTGGTCACCTGTTGTTTTATACTCTTCAGAGCACATCCCACTACGTATTATAAATAATATTCATTTGTCTGTTTGCTGGTTGTCTGTCTCCCTATCTGGAACAGAAATTTTAAAAGGACAGTGACTTCTCTCTGATATAGGAGGACACTGCAAGGGACAGGAATTGCTCAATACATATTTGTAGAATGAATGAATATATGGTAACTACTAAGTGGATTAGTTTCAGTGTTGACTAGCTGATGCTTTGTAGGTTTACTGGGATTCTTTGAGATAACAAGATTTTGGAGGCAGGGGATGGGGGTGGGTTACTGAAATGGAATTGATATCTGAATGCTCATTATATCAGGCTCAAAAGGATGTAATTAGAAAACAAATTATATTAACTTGGGGTGGTGAATACACAGAACAATATACAGATGATATTATAGAATTGTATACCTGAAACCTATATAATTTTATTAACTAATGTAACCCCAATAAATTCAATAAAAAGCAGACTACATACACACCACACACACACACACACACACACATATATATGACAGATCTATATATCTATTATAAGCCATTCAAATATAAGTTAATACTAAAATCTAAAATAGTAAAAGAAAAAGAAAGCCTAAAAAGATATATTTTTTAAAAAAGGATAAAAGAAACTATATTGATATTAAGGAATGAATCTTTATACACTGGTTAACTTTCATTTTCTCTTCCTTTTTAAAGTTATTGTACATTTCCTCTTTAGCTATGTTACTTATCTCATCTTCCGGAGTTTTCCAAATAACATTATAGATACCAGTGGTTCTATGTATAAATATCCTTAACCTATATGAGTTCCTTTCCAATGACTGTGAGATAGAAAATGTTTATACTATTACAATATTGAAGTAGGTTATTGCTCACAAATTATTTTTACTTCATTTGTATCATAAACTGTACAAATCACTGTGAGAAACCCACCTTGTAGAAATATTAATATATGTTCATATATGTATATATATTATAACACAAAATCCAGAAATGTAGAACATCCTGACTCAAGGTCTCTTATTTATTATTCAAGAAACAGATTTAGCATGAATAAATGTGCAAGAATTCAAAATATGCAACTGAATAGAAATCTCTTTATACGACAGTGGGACCAAACAAGCTCCTGTGGATTTACAGGTTTAAAGCTAAGTCTTTATCAAAAAGCATTCTTTGGATAAAATGGTTATTACATTTCTGTTGGCCTTTAAGAAATCCCTCAAAATAATCTTCCAGCTGTTTGAAAGAGCCAACTCTAATGATCCAGCTACGTTTCTGATCAGCACCTAAAGAAGTGTGAATTATGGAAAATGAAGAAGACAAAGCTGATTTTTTTGCCTATAAAAATTAGTTACTTTTGAAGCCCATCTTAATTTTTAAATTTTGGCTGATTTTTCTAATCTCACATTCTGCCAGTGTTTTAGTGCCCAAGTATGAATTTTTACACTCTCTCAAAACTATCTAAGCAATGGGTGGTACTAGTCAATCTCAATTCATTGGTCAGAATCATAAGAGAAAGAAAGATAGAACATGATAAGGGAGAGTTGCAATTATCTTATAAGTAGAAAGCAGTCTATAAGCCATTTTTCTCACCATAACCCTAAATTAGCAGTAATTTTTATGTCATAACTTTGTACATTCAGGAATAGTCCAATTTTAAAAAGCAGTATGTCAGGATTTAAACTTCTTTCCTTCTAACCTCTCAGATATGGTACAGTAGAGGTAGAGAGGAAAACTGTTGAAAATTTTAAAAGTGGATGGGAAATGTAGACTTCATAGTGCTGAACTGATGGTTTCCAAAGAGGGGACCCAGGTGTTCTTTAAAGTGGAAAGAGAAGTAAGAGTGCCAGTAATTCTCCTAGCCAAGATGACTACTCTATTACTAGCATACAATCTGGAAATGAATGGCTAATAGCAGCCACGGGGGAGCCAGCTGGAGTGTTCCTGTGCTTGTGTGCCACTGTTGAGATTTCTATAATTCCCACTCTGCATTCAATCTTTCCTGTATAGTGGCCTTTGATGTGTAGATAACTTCATGTAGATCAAAACCTAAAAGATACATTTCGGAAGTATGCTGAATATAAGAAACATATCACAAGAATGGTTCTCATACCAGATCTCCTTTTATATAAGCACCAGGTGCTAAGAGGCATGAGAATCTATAAGAGATAAAACAAGACTTTAAATTCTTATAAGGTTGATTCCAAGTCCAAAAACATGTATTAATACAGAAAAACCATCTAACTAGGGGAAAACTTAATGTTTTTCTATTTTTCATAATTGATTTGTCATTTATTAATTTTTTTTTACATTTATCTTCTGATAGAATGGAAGGGAGAGAGGGAGAGAGAGAGAAACATTGATGTGAGAGAGACACATTGATTGGTTGCCACCTGCATGATCCCAACCGGGGCCAGTGACAACTGCAACTGAGATATATTCCCTTGGCCTGAATTGAACCTGGGATTCTTTGGTTGGTGGGCTGACCAACTGTTTGGCTCTAACCACTAACTAAACCAGCCAGGACTGTTATTTTTTAATGATCAGCTTAGTGCATTTGAGTAATCACTTATATGAAAATTTGATTATGTATACCAATTATCACAATGACAATCTACTTATCTTTTTATTTATTTATTTTTCTTTATTGATCTTAGAGAGAAAGAGGAAAGGAGAGGGAGAGAGAGATAGAAATAGCGATGAGAGAGAACATAGACTGGCCTCCTCCTGCATGCCCCCCATGGGGGATCAGACCAACAACCTGGGCATGTGCCCTGAATGGGAATCAAACCATGACCTCTTGGTGCATGGGTTGATGCTCAACCACTGAGCCACACCAGCTGGGTATTTATCTTTTTTTCATAAATTTATCAAAGGGTATAAAAATCCAAAATCTGTAAATCTATTTTGGCCATCCAATGATTTTCTTCTCTTTTTTTGGCGATCCAGTAATCTTAAATAGAACATGTGGTCTTCCTCAACTCCATTCAAGTTTAACAAAGAAAACTCATATAATCATCATGATGCTTCTGTAAACTTTATAAAGTTCACTCATGTAGGTAAGTGCCTCAGGGAAGCACTAGTTATGTCTAAGGTCTGAGAAATAGGATTAGGCATCGAGGTTCTATGCAGAATGGGTTTAACTCAGGAGCTGAACCATGAACTAACTAATTTGAGACCTTGGCAAATTTCTCAGCACCTGAGTAACCTCATACAGAGAAAGGGAATGATAATAATTCCCATCTCACAGGGTGGGGATAAGGATGAAATGACATAATTCACACACAATCCTTATACCACTGCTTTGTTCCTAAAAAAAACACAATTACTGATTATTAACTACTGTTAAAGTTTCTTTGAAAGTCTGATTTATTTTACATAGTTCACCTTGTCAGTGCAATGTTCTTGCATGATTCATTATATTATAGAATCAGATATGTCCTTTTTTCCTTTATTATCTTTATTTTCAAACTTTTTATATATTTTTATTGTTTAGTTTTAATATTTGTTTTCTGTTTCTTTCTTAAGATAATTTTAAATATAGGCAAATAAACAAACCTGACATATGTACTATGAAAGGCTTGAAAGATCCATGTACTTGTGTGATTGACATGCTTATCAGGATGGAGAACGTCTCAATAATCCATACAAGTTTCCTCTCTCATCCATTCACAGTCAATCCTCCCCTTGACCAAAAAAAGTTCTGATTTTTTAAAACCATAGATTAGTTTTATCTGTTCTAGAAATTCAATAAGACTATAAAAACTCAAATACAGTATGTTACCAACATATACAAATGTGTAATGGGTATAATATGCTAATCCCACTTATATTTATATTTGACATCAAATTAGCTTTTATTATTGATATTTAATTTAAGCTGACAATAAGTTGTCTTAAAAATCATCAGTATAATTATTTACCTGCCAATTTCAGAAAAGAGTCTACATTCCTCTCATTATTTAAGGTATTAAAGAAGCCAAGAGTATATCATGGAAAACAATAAATAAATCTTTGAGCATAACACTTGGCACCTCTGTCTTCTCTCATATATGTATACATACATATATGTATTATACATACATATACACAAGATGATTAAATATAACATGCAAACTTTACTTTTATGTTCATTTAAATATTAAAAACAATTAGCATAGCAGATTTCATTTCTAAAATAGTTCTTTATCCTTTTATGCCTTTGATACTGCAGTTTTTAAATAATAAAATAGTATACACCTGAGATGTTAAAGGTATTTTAGTGTATTAATATTTTTAAGACATTTTACTGTTTAATAAAAAATCCCTTATAGGCATAAACTATTTAGAGGCAACTATATAAAATAATGCATTTTTTGTGTGTTTTTAGGAATTGATTTGTTTTAATGCAAAACTGATTACAATTTTCAGACCAAAAGTTCCTAATTATACTCCTAAGTAGTTGATCATTGTAAATAATGGAATGAAAACTCTATGTACATAAACAGTTTGGACATCTAATTTCCTCACAAAAGTAAAAAATAATTGGCCTTTGTGTTCTATAATATATTTACTAATTGATGCCAATACTATAAACATGTCAGTGAAGTCAGCATGCATTGCTAAATAAAAGAAATACAGTAATCAAAAAGACAATTTGAAAACATTTACACATTTACCTTTGTAGGTTAGCTTGAGTCGTGGAATATTTTGCTTAGAAGTTCCAATGACTGGAAGAAACAGCGTGGTCACACTTAGCATCACCGAGGCATGAAAAAGGTAAAAATAGTAGCTTTTGGACTTTGGTCTCTCATCTTTATTAGCATTCATGATGAAAACAATGTTCTCTTTGAAACGGTGGAAACAATCTAAAAATAAGAAAAGAACTATTAGTATAGCAGTGTTAGATTTTCCAAGACTTATTAAATTATAAATGTAGGAATGTATAAAGACTTTTTAAAATCACTGCTCCTTCTCTCTTGTTTTGCTCTTACAAATTGTTGCAAGGGAAATGAATCAGAAATGAGTAATAAAATTCAGGTCTGGCTATACTCAGTTGTGGAAATGAGTGCATAACTTAAAATTAACCATTTATGTTCATTAGCATTGCTTTTTCTACCAAAGTTTTTAATGCAAATGTTGAAGAAACCAATTCTTGCTGTAACTTGAATTCTTTGATCAGATAAAAACACCAGTAGAAGCCTCCTCTTTCCCATATCATCCTTAAAGGAAAAGATCCCCAAGGAAAAACAAATAAAAGCTGTCGATTTGAGGGAATTCTTTTGTTTCTGACTTAAAAGATATTTAAATAGTCTACCTAAAAATTGGGGAAATGGACATGATCAGGTCAGGGCCACCAGTACAACTTTGGGCCTGAGACAATGTAATCTTAGTTGCCCTCTACACTATTCTACACAGGACAGCACTGAATAGAGAAACAAACTGTAGCCCTGACCAGTTTGGCTCAGCAGTAGAGCATTGGCCCCGAGGACCAATGAAGCTCGAGTCCGATTTCAGCCAAAGACATGTACCTCGGTTGTGGTTTGTCCCTGGCCCTGGTCAGGGTCATGCGGGGAAAAAACAGTCAATGTGTCCCTCTGACATCAATGTTTCTCTCTCTCTCCCTTTCTCTCCCTCCCATTTTCTCCCTCCTACTCTATCTGAAGATAAATAGAGAAATATCTTTGGGTGAGGATTAAAACAAAAAGAAGAAAAACAAACTGTAAACAAAGGTTTATAAGAGGAAGGAGGTGGCTGGCTATTAACTAGATTGTCATAAAGAAGCTGCCTTAGTTGTCTTCATCAAGATATGGAATAAATCAAAACTCACATATTTAAAACTAATTCTAATAATTACAAATAACATTCATTGAGCATTTATATATACTAGTTTTTAAAAATATGTTTTTATAGATATTTTAGAGAGAAAGAAAGGGAGTGAGAGATAGAAACATCGATGTGAGAAACATCGATTGGCTGCCTCTTGCACTCCACTTGCTGGGGATCAAGCCGTCAACCCTGGGCATGTGCCCTGACCGGGAATTGAACCCAGGTCTCTCAGTCCATGAGACGACGCTCAATCCACTAAGCCACGCAGGCCAGGCACTAGATAGTTTTTTTTAAGTGATTTACATAAATTAAATGCATTAATGCTATTAAATTAATTAAAGAAGAAGGCCATGAGACTGATGTGACTCTAATGCCCTAATGGTCTACCTAAGCAAACTGAAATCCAAGCCTATGAATGACTCCAGGTTATGAACTCAAAACACGTAAGACAACCAATCACAAACAGCCAACTAAGTTTTAAGCTACAACCAATCAACTAATTTCCTTTCTTTGCTTCTACACTTTCTGTATATAAGCCTTTTCCCTGACTCCTGATGGTGGAGAGCTCCTAACCATTTCCTATTTGGTGCTGTCCAATTCAAATGGATTTTTGCTCAAATAAACTTTAAAAATTTTAATAAGCCTCCTTTTATTTTATATTTTTGTCAATGCCAATGACAGCCAAAAAACATAGGTAATTATTTCACAGATGCGAAACCAAGGTATGAGTTAACTAGTTCTCTCAAAGTCACATGGCAAGTAAGAGATAGATTAAAACATTTGTTCTGTTCGTCAGCTAGAGTCAGCTTTCTAAACCCCTAAGTCTTTGGTGCTTTTCATTCTGCCAGAATTAAGTGATCTTCAACTCTTGATGCAGTCTTTCAGCTTCTCTTTCTTACTCACAGACAACTGCTGTCTTTCTAAGGAATAGCCCACAGAAGGGACCTGGCTATTCTTACTTCCAGAGAGCTTTTCAGTGGTACCTGCTTCAACTCTTGTCCCAATAACGTCTGTACTTTTTTGGTGATAGCTTTAGCCATATAAAAGAATTATACTTTAAGTAATTATTTGATATCAAAATAAATTTTATATCAAAATAAATTATTTGATATCAAAATAAATATTTTATGTCTATATAGTTTTGCTTTAAAAGAAGTTCAAATAAGTGATTTTTTCTTTAGCAAATCGACGCTTTACTAAAATGCCTCCTAGACTTCGTATATCAAGATTCCATTTACCTTAACTCTTCAAAGTTGAGATCAATCTGGGAAGGTGAAATAAATTAAGGTTTAAAGATGTATAAATTTATTTGTACAGTACAAACATTTTAAAGATAAACCACAAATTTTATGTTTTTCGTAAAATGTTGAACATGAATTAATAAATTACATTTTTCTGTTACTTTAATTACCTTCAAAGATACCTTATAGGAAGTACCAAACTATTGTCTTGTATGTATTTAATTCTTTATTATTATAAATACAAATAATCAAGTTGATTTAGATATTCTTTTAAGAATATTATACTAAACACGCCAATATCACATTTTTTATTCACATTTACATGACGTTTCCTGATGGTTTCATCTAATTAGATGTAATTAGAGAAAAAACAGGAATGCACTTCTGACCAAAGAGATCTATATCAGCAGTGCTTTATGAAAATTTGTTTTTGAAATAATACTTAGTTTAATATAAAACACTAATACAGTCTTTATTTACATAACATTGAAAACAAACTCTCAAAAAAATAAAGAATGATATTATTTTAAAGCTAATAGGACAACATGTTTATGCTATTGCCACAAAGCAGAGTCACTTTATCTGGTCTACAGAAAAATTATCAGGATTAATTTTAAATTGTGTGTTTTTGAATTAAGACATTTACATAGTAAAATATATGCATTCTTTGACTTCCAGATTTTCCTTAAAAACATACTTATTGTATGCAAATAAGAAGATAGATAGATAAATAGACAGATAGATAGATGATAGATAGATAGATAGATAAATGATAAACTTAACTGTCATTAAAACCATAACTAAACCCCAAATATTCATAAATCTAAGATTCTTTTCTGAAGAGTGGTTGATGATATACAAATAATTAAAGTACCATGAAATAATTTCTATAATTGAGGTATTTATGGAATGTTAGGGAAGACAGCTCAAAGGAGTATCACATAGTTTAAGCAACACAAGAACAGTTTCATGGAGGACAAATAAAAAAGAATGGAAAGCAAAAATAGTTTAAGAAAATAGTGAAACTTACTTAAGGTTTCCTGAAAAGCCAGAAGCATAATAGGCTTGGTTACATTGCTGAGGAGAAGGCAGAGATCATAGCATAATCCAGTAGGGTGGAAAAGAGAGGACACCAAAGAGGCACTTGACTAAACTCTTAAACGTGTCTCATGCCTGTCATGGTACCTAATATATTACGATGAAAACTAAGCTGTTCCTCCACACTGCCTTTGATATTAGGTCACGTGTGCTGCTTCTGTTCGTATCCATCAGGTTTCTCTAATCCCCTTTGCTTGTTCCTTTACTTTTTCCTATATCCACATTTTAGCAGAACATAGGTATCTGACTGCTGCAGACCCACAGTATTGACATGCAAACATGTGTTCTTCCACCTAGCCATACCCTATGAAAAAAAGTGAAAGTTAAATTGAATGTAGAGATTAAGAATATATTAAATTTCTCATTAGTCTTAGTTTTTCTGAGTCTCTGGACATGTGAAATACTACTTTTTTTCATGACATGCAACAATGCATGTAATGTGAATGTATGTTTATGCACAGAGGCAAAAGAGAGGAAATTTTCCATGTGTGCATTTTATTAGCAATAATGACTTCAGTACAGGACATTTCCTGGGAATTAATGACCAGTTGGGGTTAATGGCCCTTGGCTATGTATTGAGATATCTACTCCTCCAACTGGTCATTAATCGCTATGACATGCCCTGTGCCTCCAACACTATAAGTTAAGAAGATTGATGTTTTGGTTTTCAATGAACAGTAGTCATACTGTTCCTTGTAACCCAACTCATTAATATTGTTAAATAAGTTAAAAATCAAAGCACTGCTTTGCTTGCTACTATGACATTCTGGTAAGTACCTACACGTGCTGAAACATATGCTGAGGGTGAGGGACAAAATAAAACACAAATCCTGAACCTGCTGGAACTTTTTATTTGACTTTAAATACTTTTCTACTATAAAACAGTCACTCTCTAAAATCTGCTGCTCCCGATTCTTTGTTTTTCTTCCCAACAATCTTTTGAATTCAATAGTTTATCTTTTAATCAAAATAATTTATGGGTTAAATGTATTGCCAACAACCTCTCCACTGCTCTATTGATATTCTGCTATCTTCCAGGACATGTTTGTGGGTGTGTGTGTGCATTTTGGTATGCACACGTGTGTGTACTCTGCATCTGGGAGGAATTACAGGGAGAAGTAGGTGCGATTTAACCTCAAGTGGGTGGATTTAGTGAATTGCATAGGTTATACTGCATGCTACTGTCTGTAACAAGCTCGACCTGGAGCCAATTAACTGCATGTAATCTATTCCAGATGTTCACTGGGACAAACAGCACTCTTGGGGATCTTCAGATGTGGAGCCAATAGGGAGTGTTCTGATTATGAGAGATTTTTACACTGTTCCACTAAATCAGAGATCCAAATGCATAATCTAACACTCAAGAAGGCCTTGTACCATTTTCCAAAAGAATGCAGAAACCAGAACTTATTAGATGAATGGTAACTCATCAAAAATATTATTTGAGGAGTAAGGGATATACAATTTTATAAGTGAACTTCATTGATTTGCCTTATTTAGTTAGCTCCATTTGTTCTAAAAGTGATTAAGGCAAGATAATGTATCATTATGGTAAAAAAAAAAAAAAAAAAAAAAGTAGATTCTACACATAAGACAAGAATTAAAATACACATGAAAACCTAAACACTTTCTCAGGGCTCTGGGTGTGTGTGTGTGTGTGTGTGTGTGTGTGTGTATACATAGGTA